TTCGTGGCTTCGCTGCTCTCACTGCCGTCTGGGCGACGTGTCCTTGCGATCTTTCGGGTATGGATCTTTGGTGTTCGTACGGGGGCCTTGCTGCTCATTGTTTTCATGTTGTTCCCGGAACTTTTCGGGGCTGTGGCGCCTTGGGTTGGCGTTTGCTTCCGGTTGTCTCGCTTCCGTGGGGGGTGCGTGTTGTCCGCCTCCCGGTTCCGTCCCTTTGACCTTCCTCTGTGGGTAGTTAGCTCCGGGGAGCCGACTGGGCTCCCCACAGAAAACCAGCGTTGAATGTAATGAAACGCCATTTTCTGGGTGAGACCCGGAGGCTCCCCGCCAACCCTCCCTCCCCCTGGTTGGCGGTTTTTCCCGTGTTTTAACATCCAGCCTCAGAACTGATGGGTGGATAGCCGGCGTGGGAGGTCTGGGGCTCCCCCTTCCCCCTCCTGGGGAGGGGGGAGCTGGGCAGACAGCGGCACGGTGTCGTGTGACGTCATACTAGTTTGCTTGTTTTCTGTTGAGGAGTTCTATCCACTAGTTCGGCTTTAGGTAGCAATTTTCACCAGAATAGGGGTTTGTTTTGGAATGCTTACCTTTCTGGATGCTTGACCCAGTCGATGGCAGACATAGAATGCTTCCATCCACACGGGGGTTTCTATAGGTCATTGCTCCCCTTGCCTCTCTGAGGGGGCCAGGTTCTGGCCGTGGTCCCCGGTAGGCTCTAGAACTCCATACATATGACTGATGCCAAAGTCTGACATTAGCATATCAGCGTGGAAAAGCTCCGGGGAGCCTCCGGGTCTCACCCAGAAAATGGCGTTTCATTACATTCAACGCTGGTTATTTTCACTGGTGTGGTTCAATATGTTCTCACAAGATGATTTATAAACATAAAACTGTTGTCAATGTATATTGTATCCACATATTAGTGTCACAAGTATTTGCACAAAAATGTCTTGTTTCTCAATAAAATATACAATTTCTTATGATTTATTTCCACTATATACTCTCACTTATTCTGTATTTACATGTTTTGGCACCAGTCTTGGACATTTAGAAGTCATCAAGACTGTGATACTCGTTGAAACATTGGACATGGCGCAGAGGAACCTGACACGCTATGCACCAAGTCATCATTATTTTTATTTTCTGTTCCCTCTTGGTTGTTGACCAGCATACTACACACGCATGCTGGCCTACTGCACGCTTTCCAGTTGGTGGTAAAAACCTGAGACTGTGTGTCAAAAAGGCATCCATGTAAGCGAGCCTGGGTGTTGGAGCATGGTGCAGTACCGGGTTCAGAATGGGCCTCTGTACACCAGGAATTACTTTGCCAAACTTTTGTAGTAATTGTGTTACTACAGTAAAATTGAATGCACGGAAATTACATGTACCACCTGTTTTGACAAGATACATATTGTAACTGCTCAGCATTGTTACGTCAACAAGGTGGAAAAACATTTTCTTGGTCCACTTCACTGTTTTCCGTACACACACTACTGCCCCCACCATCATATCACATTTATCCACCAATCGCATGTTGATGTTATAGTCTAAGACATAATTTGGCTTATAGATTAGTTCTCTGGTGGTTTTGTTCACCTTGCCACTGTCCAGCATTGTTCCAGCGTGAATGGTGGTCAACATTTTCACTTCACGCCTGTCTTTCCACCGCACTGAAAGTATTCCACCTGTTTTTCTGAGCTCGTAATCACCAACCTGCATAGCACCTGGAAACACTGGCATTTCTCTTCGTTTTGCCTTCACTGTGCCACACACTCCAGTTCTATTATCAAGCAAGAACCTAGTTAGCAAGGGACTGGTATAATTGTTAGCTGTGTATAATATGTGGCCCTTGTTCAGATATGGTGCAAGCAGTGACTTCACAACACTACCTGAGAAGCCATGTTGGTCATTAGCAGGAATGTCTACATTTGTACCCGTATACATTATCATATGTAACACAATTCCTGTTTCACAGTCGCAGAGTACAAAGAATTTCAATCCAAGTCGGTGGCGTTTAGAGGGAATATACTGCTTGAAGGCAAGACGTCCTTTGAAAAGCACAAGGGATTCGTCAATCACAAGCTTCTGAGCTGGTACGTAGAAATCCCTGTACTTTCCGACAAGCTCATTCAGGACGTGCCTTACCTTCCAGAGCCTATCATCATCATTCCGGTCTTCATCATTTGCAAAGTGAAGACACCTGAGGATTATCGCAAATCGGTCTCGAGACATATATTTGCCGAACATTGGTGTTGGAACAGTATGGTCTTTGCTCCAATAATGGTCGATTACATGTTTGACACAATGTTTCATCAACATACACAGTGCCAAAAACACATACATTTCACCTACAGTCGTATCTTTCCATCGCTGCAAACGTGAATAATCGGATAACTCCTCCTCGTCAATGAGATCACTCGCATGTTTGTTCGTCTCATGAACAAGATGTTCCATTAGTGGCTCATCAAAATATGCAGTAAAATAGTCCATTTCACACATATCTGCACCTTTATCAGGGGAAAATGTCTGTAATTTCAACATCCGAATTATCAAAAACAGGAATTTGTGGAACAAAATCTGTCCCATCATTCCACACAAAAACACCGGGTGTCTTTCGAGAGCCAATAGCGGCACCACTGCAAGGAAACTGTGGACCAGGAGCTGAAGCAGGTCTAGGAACAGTAGGGGCGTGCAGGGACGGTGATGGAAAATTCCTCGATGTTGAAGGTCTTTGTTCATGTGGTTCCATGCGGTGCCGCATGGCTTGGCCAGATGCTGCTGACGCGACAAATTGTTGTTTGGTAACACCACACACTCCTCCACTTGCACTAGCGAAACTATTTTTCAATTCTAAGTCACTAAAACCGAAAAATGATTCACCTTCTTCAGAATCGTTAACCAAAACATCAATATCTTGCAAGGGAGCACATGAACTGTGTGGTCTTGCACAAATTGTGGTCGAGTGAAAGCGAGGAGGCATGGGCGAGATGCTAGGCCTAGCCCTGGTGGAGCCAGCATGTTCACACTCATTGTCGATCGTATCCACCTCCAAGGGCTGTGTGAAGTCATGATCAAAGTCTGAGTCGTCAATATCAGACTCATCACCATCTGGGAACAAATTACGATTAATTTCGTTCTCGGTCAGAGGTCGCGAGGAACACCTCACTGAGCGGGGTCGGTCGTTGGAACTTGATGCGCTCGCCATGGTGTCCGCCGGGTAACTGAGGCCTGCCTGTACACAAATGGGACCCACGCTGGATTTTTTCCCCCAGGCGGGGTTTTTCCCAGGTCGGTTGAGGCTCACCGATGACTACCCGTATCCCACGCGGGGCGTTTAAATTATAGCGCTAGACACGAAATCATATATAAATGATATGTGCGGTTTCGGTTTTGTCACTGATATATATATATATATATATATATATATATATATATATATATATATATATATATTTTTTTTTTTTTTTTTTTTTTTAAATAGGGAAGGGAGTACCACCTCTGGCTGGAAGAAGGGGGGCCCATAGCCTCGGAGGAAACCACACATAACGCATTGGAGGGAATGTGTATTCCCTCCAATACAGTTTCTGTGTGCTTTTCTCCTACCACCCCCTTCCCTTTTTTTTTTTTTCCTTTATTGTGTATTTAAAGGTTACAAAACATACAAGACAAATGCCTAAAGGTTATGGATCTCTTGAAGCTCCTCCGCTTCTGGACAGGAACCGAGGACGCAGCAAGCATTTCCCCTCTGGATCGCCACACTGAGACGCTGAAATAAAAAACTGGAAGCCCTTGGGTCTCTGGTGACGTCAATGAGCTTGGACCCCAATTCCTTGAGAAATCCCAAGGCACTCTTGCCCCAGGGGCCATGCGTCTCAGACGCTATGGGAACAAAGAGGTATATATATATTATATATATATATATATATATATATATATATATATAAATATATATGTCGTACCTAGTAGCCAGAACGCGCTTCTCAGCCTACTATGCAAGGCCCAATTTGCCTAATAAGCCAAGTTTTCCTGAATTAATATATTTTCTCTAATTTTTTCTTATGAAATGATAAAGCTACCCATTTCATTATGTATGAGGTCAATTTTTTTTTATTGGAGTTAAAATTAACATAGATATATGACCGAACCTAACCAACCCTACCTAACCTAACCTAACCTCTCTTCGTAGGCTAGGTTAGGTTAGGTAGCCGAAAATGTTAGGTTAGGTTAGGTAGGTTAGGTAGTCGAAAAAGCAATAGTTCATGAAAACTTGGCTTATTAGGCAAATCGGGCCTTGCATAGTAGGCTGAGAAGTGCGTTCTGGCTACTAGGTACGACATATAATATATATATATATATATATATATATATATATATATATATATATATATATATATATATATATATATATATATATGTCGTACCTAGTAGCCAGAACGCACTTGTCAGCCTACTATGCAAGGCCCGATTTGCCTAATAAGCCAAGTTTTCGTGAATTAATTGTTTTTCGACTACCTAACCTACCTAACCTAACCTAACCTAACTTTTTCGGCCACCTAACCTAACCTAACCTATAAAGATAGGTTAGGTTAGGTTAGGTAGGGTTGGTTAGGTTCGGTCATATATCTACGTTAATTTTAACTCCAATAAAAAAAATTTACCTCATACATAATGAAATGGGTAGCTTTATCATTTCATAAGAAAAAAATTAGAGAAAATATATTAATTCATGAAAACTTGGCTTATTAGGCAAATCGGGCCTTGAATATTAGGACAAAAAGTGAGTTCTGGCTACTAGGTACGACATATATATATATATATATATATATATATATATATATATATATATATGATATGCGCAGTTTGAGGGTTAAGGGTCAATCAGCTTCAGGGGAGCCGACGGGTTCCCCACTGAAATGTTTACTATCCATATAGAATGAGTTTTATTCCTGTTTAAATGCATCTTCATTTTATCAGCTTCACTAATTGTGCTAAATCTTTTTCAGGCTATATTCACCTTCTCCTACATAACATTTTTGACACGAATGGGTGAGCGAATGGCAGACAGCCTCAGGCAGCAGCTCTTTTCTGCTCTTCTGGAGCAGGATATTGCATTTTATGATCAACATAAGACAGGAGAACTAGTAAACAGGTATGTATTAAGAAAATGTATCATTTATATATAAATACTATACAAAAATATATACATATGTAAATATACTGTTTATATAATTTATATTTATTTCTGAGAGAACCCACTCAGTAGCTCCTGAATAATACCACCTGGAAGCAACCAAACCATGTGGAACATCCCAGTACTCAAGACCTATGAGTGACACACACACAGATCACACTAACGTGATGCATCAAATGAACAAATCCACAAGGGGATTTGTCAGTGTCTGAGATGCTCCCGGACGCAGGTTCGAATCCTCGTCACGGCCCTTGTGGATTTGTTCACCTATGAGTGGTTACTGGAGGCTATGACCAGACTCTGGCCCTTTCAGGGTGGTGAAGGAAAGCCTGGGGATCAGGGTTCACCATAGAACCAAGTAAACAGACCAGTATGTATCCAGTATGCTACTGGATATTTGTCCAGATCATCGTATACTGATAGTATGAAGCCGAAAAATCTCTCTAAAACCAAGGCTCGACTTGCCGTCGAATATAAAATGTGAAACTTTACCACTGAGAGATAAACAAGTGAAATGCCTGGCCTAACACTCATTGTACACTACCACCAGGAAGGGATGGAGTCGGGAAGGGAGGGAGGGAAGGAGGGAGGGAGTCTGGAAGGGAGTCTGTGGAGAGTGTGCAATTACCTAAGTGTAGTTACAGGATAAGAGCTACGCTCGTGGTGTCCTATCTACCCAGCACTCTTTGTCATATAACATTTTGAGACTACTGGCGGTTTTGGCCTCCACCACGTTCTCACCTAACTTGTTCCAACCGTCTACCACTCTGTTTGCGAAAGTGAACTTTCTTATATTTCTTCAGTATCTTCATTTAATTAGTTTAAATCTATGACCTTCATCGTAAATTTTGCAAAATTTGGCATACATCTCATTTACTTCCTTGCCTAGCAACAAATCTGTCCAATTATACCCATGAAAAAAAATTCTAAGTTCCCCATAGCCTCCTCTCTTGAAATCGAGTTTAACAACTATTTCAATTTCTCCATTATCTACTAGATTATAACGCATAACGTATTTAATGTCCAAGAGGACGAGATCACTCTTTCCCAAGGGAGGAAGGTACTAGATGTCAAATACCCCTTCTTCTTTCTTGATGAAAACTAGATCCAGTACTGACGGTACATCCCCTTCCCTCATTCTTGTGGCCTGCCTGACGTGTTGATACATAAATGTCTCCAAAATGAGGTTTACAAACCTGCCTGCCCATATGTCCTCTGTTCTTGCCTCATAGGCCTCCCAGTCTATTGCCTTAACCCTTAAATGGCACCCTGGCTATTTAGCATGTGTCTCTCACAGGCGCATAAAAAAAAAAAAAAAAAAAAAAAAAAAAAATCTTTTAAACCTGTTAATTTGTGTTCACTCATCATGGGAAAAACAATAAAAAAATCGTAAGTGGCATATATTGCCTGCTATAGGGCGGGGAAGTCTGGCAAAAAACAGGCGCTGACTCAGCATGCATCACAGGCAGTCTGTTGCTCGCCAGGTATCAGGTCGGAGTTGCCACAAAGAGATAATTACGTAATTATTTCAATGTTTCTGATTGATTTTTCGTAGTTATTTTGCTGTAATATTATTCAATAGTGTGTAGTTTGATATATTTATATAATAAAATGAGTGAATCATCGCTATACTCAATATGGTGTGCATATTGTTGATTCAATTATGTTCATCAAACAGTGAACAAATACTTTGTCGGTTATTACACTATATACACAGGTTATATATAAATATCTGCATATCTAGGGGGGAGCCCCGTCGGCTCCCTGGAGCTTTACCAGGCTGATATGCTAATGTCAGACTTTGGCATCAGTCATGTGTATGGAGTTCTAGGGCCTACCGGGGACCACATCCAGAACCTGGCCCCCTCAGAGAGGCAAGGGGAGCAATGGCCTATAGAAACCCCCGTGTGGTTGGAAGCATTATATGTCTGTCATTGACCGGATCAAGCATCCAGAAAGGTAAGCATTCCAAAACAAACCCCTATTCTGGTTAAAATTGCTACCTAAAGCCGAGCTAGTGGATAGAACTCCCCAACAGAAAAGTAAACTAGTATGATGTCACACCTCACCGCGCCGCTATCTGTGGAGCTCCCCCCTCCCCGGGAGGGGGAAGGGAGAGCCCCAGACCTCCCACGCTGGCTATCCACCCATCAATTCTTCAGCTGATGCTATAAGCACCGGTTATGTGCTCCAGCTCCAGTAGTTGTTTCAGCACTGTATCTAGAGTGTGGTGTCTTTCTTTTAGGTGGTGCGTGAGCCGGGAGTGTGTCTTCAGTACTCGGGCTGCATGCGCCTAGGGTTTCCTTCCTTAGGTGCCCTGTAAGTACTGCCCTTTGGGCCACCTTCCACAAGTTCCTTGGGTCTTGCCCCTGCTAGGCCGTTTACTGCTTGGTTTTCGGCCGCTCTTTGTGTGCTCGGGTGTTCTGTCTCCCTTGTTCGCTAGGGTAAGGGGCAGTTTTGCACTGGTGGGGAGCGGGGTACTGTGCAGCTTGTCTTTACGAATCATGGCGGCCGGCTCTGTTCCGCTTGGGTACGCAGTCCTCTTGCGGGTGTTTTCTTTTTCTTTTTGTTTATCTGCCTGGTGGGGGGGGGGTCTGCCTTCGTTCTTGCCCCTTGTGTCCCTTGTGTTCTGAGTATTTTCTGGTGGTACCCCCAGCTAGGTCCCCGTGAGTGTACACGTCCCAGGGGTTCACCTCTTAGAAAGTTCTTTGGTAGCTTTGGGCGCCGGTTGCAGTACCCTGCCTGGGATTACCTGAGCGCGAGTCCACTTATAGTAAACGCTTGGGACCCTGGGAAACCCCTGGGGGTGCGTGGGTCCGATGGATGTGACCCCAGAGTCCCCCCTCGCTTCCAGCGAATTTGAGGGTTGAGGGTTTGAGGGTTTGCTCTTACCCTTTGTCTCTGGGTGACTCTCTGTTTTGCCTCCGTCTGCTACCTGTGGAGTCGGTGACACCTTCGACCCGGAGTCCTGTGAGTTTTGTTGCTCGTTGTGTCTCGGTTACCTAGTTGTGCTGACTGAGAGGGTGCGGGCAACAGGGGCGTTGCACTTTGAGCATTGGTGGTGGCAACGCTCTCATGGTTTACTCCCCGGGAGCCCCGGGGCTGCCCCGTTTTGGTTCGTGTTGGGACTTGGGGGTGTTGGTTGTTTCGGTTCCTTCCACGCCCCCTTGTTTTTCCCCTGGATATCCCTTCCTGCCTGCATCCGGTTCCTTACCGTCTGTAGGTTCGGGGCGGAGTTTGATGGTGTTGAGACTCGGGCAGTCTCGGGGAATTCCCCTTCCGGGGTAGTGACGGGGAGCATTGAGCCTGTTCCTCCAGCCGTGTTGTAAGAGTCTGCCAGTGGGCTCCCTTTCTTAGTGTTTTCGCGGCTGCCCCAGTATTCTGGTACAGCCGGAGCTTTGGGGGGACGGCTCGGCCCCGGGGCCTGTCGTGTCGGTTCCCGGGGCTGGGGAGGGGCTGACTTGGGGGGCCCTTGGCCCCGTAGGACCCCGTGGGGGTTTTTTCTCCCCTTCTAGGCGGGGCTTGTGGTTACGTAGAGTGGGGTCTTTCCTCACCACTCACCGTACGTGCTGTTGGACGTGCTTCCCAGTCTATGGATTTCAAGTTGAAGTCGCCGACTATCAACAGTCGTGAACTATCGTTATTCACTCTCGCTATGATCTATCTCATTATTGTTATAAGACCTTCTCGTTTACTATCTAGCTCCTCCTTTAACCATGTGCTGCTTGGCGGTGGACTATATGCATTTATGATCATTAGTTTATCATCCTCATGGCAGATCTCCAGTGCTATTATGTCAACTTCTTGTGGATTGACAGTCATTATTTCCTTCACCATTAGGTGTTCTTTCACCAGCACAGCAACGCCACCGCCTTAACTAATTATTTTTGTCCCGTCTCCAAATTGAGTAGCCCCTTGGGAATATGACCTCATTTAAAATATCATCTTCAAGTTTTGTCTCCGTGAGTGCAACAATGTCTGGTGTCTGCAGCTGTATTACATCACTTAACTCCTGTATCTTCGATCTTACTCCATCTATGTTGGTGTATGCAATCTTCAGGAACTTGTTCCCCCTCTTCTTATTTTTCACTCCACCTCTCTCTAATGATTTTGTTGGTTTGCCTTTATGTACCACTTTGTAGAAAAAAGAATTGATTTCTTCTTCATTCCTGCTCTCATTTAAATGTTTTGCCTCGGCAAGGTTCAGTTTCAGCTTCTCTCTATCTTCTTTTGTGAAGAGAATCTTCTATCGGTGTGTTTGAGTGCTGGTGTTTTGCGCCCTTTTTTCTCAGGTGCTTTGCCTCTCGCTCTTCTCCCTTGCTGCGGTATGTGCCCCTTTGCTCCGGGGGTGTCCTGGTTTCCAGCTGTGGGGAGGACACCGAGGTTTCCCTGTTTCATGGGTGTGGGCCGCCTCCTTCGCCTCTACCCTGCTCTCCTGCGGGTCCGGCGTCTTCACCTGGCGGTGCTCCCAGGATTTTCTGGGCACGGTTGAGTCGTGTCATGTTCGTGCCTCCGTTCGACAGGTGAGTTTCTGCGGTCTAGCGTCTTTTGGCCGGGCGCTGGATGCGGAGATGTTTATATAGTACCTGACTTTATTTAGGTATATTTTTGTACGACTGAGACCGTTTGCACACCAGTGACTGTCCCTTTTTCAACCCTTCCAGTCCCACACATGTGCATGTCCAACCCATGCTAGAGTCATTCAGGGGACCCACCTTTTTTCATGTTATGAGGTGTGTGGGTTGTGGTGCTGGTTATGTACTCACCTGGCAGGGCTCTCCTGGTTGTGCTTGCAGAGTTTGAGCTCTGGCTCTTGGGTCCCGCCTGTCTGGAAGAACTTACGGGATAGTACCAGTGGAGTGCTGTGGTGCTATAGGCACAATCAGGGAACACTGTATAACCATCAGAGGTCTGCGGTTGTTACACCTGGTTGATACCTGGTTGATGGGGTTCTGGGA